ACGTGACAAAATTCAACACCTCAGTCTGCAGGGGAAGTGAGGAAAAAATGCCTCTGACTCCATCACCCAGTTTTGTACACCCAGATAGGAGCACCTGAGACTTGGATCCTCACCTATAGCAGGTGGAATCACCTGAATAACCTACAGAAAGGTAGATGCAAAGCAACAACACTCAATAACTTCACATTAATTTCCTCTGCACCCTGCCCAGTGCCAACCCAGTTCACAATCAAATGTTTCAGCTGCTCGAACATTCCTCACCCTGACTAAATTTAAAACAAATCTCCTGTAAGCCAGAACCAAGCAAACTCCTCACACTATTTTCCCATTAATTACAGCCACAGCTGTATGATTTTTCTTTGAAGTTGAAGCAATATTCACTCTAAAACACCATTTTCATCAGCTTAAAACCAAGGGATAATTCATTTTTTGAACTGTAATGTTTATTTTCCCAGAAAAGATTTTTTTTTTCAGATCTTTGCAAAGGGCAGCTTACAGGCTTTTTCCAAATTAGAGAAAAAAACTGTCATATCTGCTTGTAATGAATGTTTTAATGTATAAAAAACAGGGAGAAAATCTGGGTCTTATTGGAAATACCTGCTGACAACTGTTCCTAAATTATTGGAATTGGCAGGAAAACTCCCCAAAATATCAATTTCTGGTGGAGGCTTAGTCACCAACTTAAGGTTGATCATCAAGACACTCTCTGCAACATTTTTGGGATGCTAGAAGGAACACTATTTCAGGGATGGGATTCCTTCCCAGAGGAGCTGGATTCATGTTGTTTGGAGACCCTAGGCACTTGGTTTTGTGCTTGTTTTAAATCCTACCATCACTTCCAGGTGTGTAAGTACATGCAGTGGTGGATTCTGATCCCAGCCACTGAGCTCCAGGCACTTAAAGAACAGAGGAATGTAACCAGAATGGCAGTTCCCTCTACAAATTAAGGAAAAAATCATTCTTTCAAACAACAGAAAGGAAAAACCTAAAATATTTCATGGATCCCCGTTGCATTCCACTTGTACAAGACACAGGTCCCCATTTTTCTCACTCTATGTTAGAATAGGTGACCAAAGAGGCTCTTAAGGGAAGTACAGGAGGCAGAGATGTAGCTGTGGGTTTGACAGGGAAAAACACTTTCCCTGGTTCGTTGGGACCATCCAGAAGAAACCTATGTGGTGTTTCAGGTGGGAATTTTCCACTGCAGAGCATCACCTGCTGTTTAGGGAGGCATTTGCTGCAGCACCAAGCAGGTAGCACGAGCAAAGGATGCTGAGAATTTATGTCTATTGATGTCTCGTTTAGAGAACTACATTGCTTAATTCAGAGTCAAAAATATCTCCAGAGGATCAAAAGAAGAAACGTGGAGAATTGAATCAGTGGAAGAATGAAGCGTATTCCCTAAACAGACATTGCATAAACAACCACTTGGCCTAGAGATAAAAGAATCCATCAGTAAATGCTGCTGTCAATCCCCTGGATTTGTTGTATTTCCACATCCAAAATGCTCAGCCAGAGCATACAACAGCAGGAAAACATTAAAACCACACAGTCAGGCTTACAAAGCCCCTTCTATGTATGTACACATCAAGCACCAGAATGGTCAAGCCATCTGGGAAAACCTGGGTCACACAGGAACCTTGAACAGAATTAGCAGAGCTGTACAATTGCAGACATTTTATGAGGGTTTCACAAAGGCAGGACTTCAAATGAACAAAGCAGCTTCCCTGGAAAGGAGCCTTTCCTAATACACCACAGCACACGCTCAGAGCTCCTCCCCAGCAAAGCTCTTCTCTAGAGGAATGTCCTGCATAATCACTGATCCTTCCAGGGACGTAACAATCCCACTGCTCCAAAGTGGGAGATGCCAAAGCTGAGCTGAGTAAGTGAACTTGCCCATCTGGCTATAGACATTTCTGTAATAAAATTATTTCAGTTAATACAAAAGATGTGGGAACACAAGATACCCCGAGTTACTGGAAGGGAAGCACTTAGGGCACTTACTAAACTGCTCCTGCCTGCAGTGTCTTCAGAGGCAGGTGGAACAAATCCAGCTTCCGTGCCTGTGATGCAACTCACTCCACAGTGCAGTAACAGGGAATGCTCAGTCCATGCCCTCATGCAGCAGGATGTTAAAAATATATCATGGAACGGTTTGGGTTGGGAGGGACCTCAAAGCCCATCTTGTTCCACCCCCCTGCCATGGGTAGGGACACCTTCCACCAGCCCAGGTTGCTCCAAGGCCTGTCCAATCTGGCCTTGGACACTTCCAGGGATGGGGCAGCCACAGTTACTCTGGGCAACCTGGGCCAGGGCCTCAGCACCAAATACAGCTCTGAAAACCAAACCTCAAGGCTCAGTGTCACAAGACAGCAGATGAGCAATGGAAATGGAGGGAAGGCACTGCTCAAGCTGTTTATCCCTTCTCAGTGCCAGGAAAGACAACCTTTGCTGCGAGACTGTGGGAGAAGTGAGGAAAGGGAAGGTGGAAGTGGGGATACACGTCCCAGCACTGCTTTGAAGCCAGTCCTGCACACCAATCACTCCCTTCGGCCACGCTCCCTCCTCTCCCCATCTGCCCCTTCAATCACAGCCATGGTGGGACTCATTCCCCTAAACACATCCAAGGAATAAAACACCCAACAAAGGAAGAGTTACAGCTTCCCTCTCATCTCCCTCTTCCATCATTATTGCTGCTGAAGGGCCATTTTATCACTTGCAGCTGCAGTCATTCAGCGACAACCTGCTGTGCTCAGAGGCAGAGGAGACCTGCACATTTGATCTGCATTAAGGCTGTTTCATGGCTTCCCATTTCGAGATACATTCCTAAAGCAGCACCAACAGCCAAACCTTTTCATCCCTCCAGCTCCTTGGTAGCTCCTGTGAAATCTCTCATTTATCTTTCACATTGGGCTCGGTTTGGTTCAGCGTCAGTCTGTGATCTGTGCCCCAAATCCATCAGCCCCAAACAAGGGCTGGCGCTTCTCTGGCTCCTCCTGGACAGCAGCAAATCCCTGTTTTTACAGCAGCAATGTTTTTATTGGCAGAGCTGCTTTCCATCCCCTTCAGACACGAGGTGCAAATTAAGCAGCTCTTCACACGTACCAGCTAAGAAACACAGCACTTTGCTCTCAGGTGCAAGGAGCCCACATTGGAGCCAAATTTGGGGGGGCTTTCTCAGAACAAGGAAGCTGTTCAGCCTTGGGTTAGGATGTTTGTTGGCCCATAAAGCAAGGGGAGGAGAAATGAGGCCTGAATCCTTATCATTATTCCATGATAGCTTTGCTGCAAAGCTCTCAAAACAGGACACAGTGGCTATACCCACCTGCTCACTAGAAAACCAAAACCCTGGGAAGAGCAGGAATGGGAAAAATAGACACACAGCTTCTAAAAGGATATGTCAAGTCAAAATATTTCTTCTGCAGGAAGACACAACAGCTCAAATTAAGGACAGAGGAGAAGCCACCTCCCATAGCTCAGCATATCCTGTCCAGTTCTCCCACCAACCTGAGGGAACTTGGCTCCCTGGAGTCCTCCTGCCTTTTTATTTTTGAGGTGCCCACGTAAAAAGCAGGCCCATAAGTGCCTTGTGTACCCTGAGTTCAAGCCAGTTCCCCAGAGCAGGGCCAAACCTTTCCAGCCCCTCTGGCAGAGGCTCTCAGCATCTCTTCCCCATGGGTGCAGAGCTCTTCTATTTCATTATCAGCCTACTGGCAAACAGGAAAAACGAGGGAGTCTCCAGAAAACAAACACACTTGGAAATACCCAGCTGATTAAAAGCTAAACTCCTCCAGCAACCAGCTGGTGACCAGCTCAGCCCTGGCTCTGTGAACGTGTCAATTATAAATAATTAAAAGGGTATAGGAAGGAGACACTGAAGTATTAAGCAGATTTCTCTCCAGGCATCTGGAGGTTTTTGTTGCTGCCAATCACACCCTGCAGATTGTTGTCCTGTCTCTCAGTCACCAGCCCTTACCTGAACAAGGGAGCTCAGGTTAACATTTGCAAGGAAATTAATTAATCCTGGTTATGCCTCTGCACATGAAAGCCAAAAATATCAGCAAAAACCCCAGCTCTTAATTTTTAATAACTTGTAAGCGTAACCTCAAATTGCTGGAGAGAAAAAAATCCACACAACTCAGCTGTGTGGTAGGTGAAATGGACATAGATATGAAGAGCAATATTGGACAGCCCTCCCTCCACTTGTGATCCAGCCTCCTGGAGGGACAGATCTGAAGATGCAGAGTTCAAAAGACAACTGGCACCCTTGGAGGGGTAAGAAGAGAGCACCACAAATGTTCAGAGAGGAATATTTTATACCATACCCCACATATAAATACATGTTAATTATGAACAGTTTGCAATGGGAACTGAATTTTGATAACTAGGGGACAGAAAGAGTCTTGTGTGACATCCCAGAGACTTCACACAGCATCCCCACTCCTGCAGTAGGGAGAGATGCCACTTGCTGACACCAAGGGGAGCAAGGGGAAGGAATATGAGCAAGTCTGCACTTCCACGCTCCATTGCACAGAATTCCTAACTGGAAAGCTGACACATTGGGAATCCACAGGAAAAGGTGGCTTGGTGTCCATTTTCCCAGTCCCCAGCTTGCATGTCACTGCAGCGACAGTGGCTGTGAAGGCATTCATACATGCCACTGAAATCAAACACGAGACATGTCAACTGAAAGGGAGACCAGGGAGTTCTCAGTGCTACTCAGCCTTGCTTCCAAAGGGATTTGGGGACCTTCAGTGCAGGGACATCATCAGTTTTGGGTAGGAGGGTAAAGAAACAGTGCCTGTGGAATTAAGTTACCGGGCAGAAGATCTTTCCTACTGCACTCCTCATCTCCCAAGAGAAACATCTCCAGCCTCAGCTCTGCTCTTCCACCTGATCTGCCAGTTCAAGGCCTGGATTTGTTCTTTCAAACTCAGGAGGGAAGAATTCACTCCTCTGCCCTATTTTGCTCATTGAGTTCAAACAAATGCTCAACTCACCCCTCTTCTGCATGAAAATGAAGAGGTCATCCAGGAACTCTTTCCGCTCAGGATCACTATCCAGTTCATAGAGCTGGGGGGGAAAACAGATAAAAATGAAGGTACAATCCACAATGAGAAAATAAAGTGATATTGGCTTCTTCCAGTGTGTGATCTGTGTTTGCACTGCCGGGGTGAAAGGAAACCACAGGCAAAGAGGAAAAACAAGGAAAGATTCCTGAGCAACTTTGTGGCCAGGGTTGCAGTGACACTCCAAGGACCCTCACCATACCCTGCCTTGCTCAGCCCCTCAGTAACTCATCCAAGTACAGAGACTGACATCCCAAAGGGAAGAGGATTTCCAGAATCATTAAGCTTAGAAAAGACCTCCAAGATCATCAACTCCAACCTTCACCTCAGTTAACAGCACCACTAGCGAGCAGGGTTTGAAGCCACCTGGAGGAAAAGGGGACAGAAGCTATGAAGGCAGGTTGGAAAGGAAGAGGAGACAACCAAAAGGAAGGTGACAGTGGTTTGGGGCAGATCAGTGGTACCTTTGTGGCACCAGAGAGGTAAAACTTCTCTGCAGTGCCTCCTAAACTCACAATTCCCTCCTTCAAGGATTGTCACATAAGTGTTAAACTCCAAGTGCCTTGAAGGAGGAGATGAAAGAATAGACCTTTCCTGTAACTACTAGTGCCTGTAAGGGAAGGCTCCTCTAAACAAACCAAAAGCCTTCAAAAATATCAGGAACCACCCTAGAATCGAGTTGCTGCAGAAATAATTTTTACCAAAAGGCTTAAAACCTTCAAGCAATTAAAATAAAGTTCCATAGACACTGTATTTCAAAAGAGAGGAACTATATGTGAGCATTATCCCCTCATTTTTCAGAAGGGGCAGACACGAGTGTCATCTTACAACCACTTCTGGAATAGAAAAAAATCTACTTTTCAGCTATCAAGAACCCTGTGAGGCCAAAAAGTGACAGTCTGGAAGGGCTGAAGTGAGGCTCTGAGATCCAGGGGGATATAGAACAAGACAGAAGACAAAGCTGTACGTGAAGAATTTAATTCCTTCTCTTGTTTGCATCGAGGAACAACCCTGCAACACCCCAGGGAATTTTTTTTCCTGGTTGTAGCTACTCTTGTGGAGCAGCTCGATGGAAAAGCAAAGATTGCTTGGGAAATACATATTTCAGCCTCCCCGTAGGTGCTGCAAGCTACTTGGTATTCATCTAGTCCAAAGAAGAGGGGGGCTTTTTGGGCTCATTTCCTGGGAAGCTCTCCTTTCTCACCCAGCTCTGGGAAGAAAACACCCCGGTGTGTTTGCAGAACAATTATCTGCCCCAGCAGAAAGGGCCAGCTCAGTCTAAAATGAATTCCTGCAGCTGATGTGACACACAGATGCCACATGCAAATCTATGAGCACAGGACTAAGCAGCTTTTAGAAATGAAATATTCTCCTTTCAGATGGAGAGAGTACGGACTAAAATTTTAGAAGTCAAAAGCCTGGTTATTAATTCTTAGTTCAAACTACAATCCAGTGACTAAAGGCAACAAAATAGCTCAAAATAGCAGGTTCGTAGGCAGAGCTGCAGGACAAAACATCCTTCTTACAAATTCACCACAGAGCAACAGTGAGGGCTCTGTGGTCACCCCCTGCCATGGATCAGGGGAAGAATTCCCAGAAGTTACCCCTTCCTTGAAATCCTCATGATCAGACTGACCTTGGCAAAGTCCCGTGAGATTTCTCTTCCTCGGCATCCATCACCATCATCACTCCAGGTCACGCTGCCATTCTAGGGAGAGAGAGAAACGAAAGGATGAAAGGATTCCCAGGGAATTTGTGGACAATCCCAGAAAGCTAGCAATGTGTATTTTGGGGCACAAAAATGTGCAAAAGCAGCTGCTGGCTTGGACCAAGATGACGAGAAAGATGGGGGAGCATTCGTGTATTTGTCACAGCCTGTTTTCCTGGGATCTCTGACACTCACACAAAATGGGAAGTGGCATTTTGCCTTCCAGGCAGCTGCTGAAGGTAAGGCAAGTTTTCCAGCTCTAAAGCTTTTTTCCCCTCCACAGAAATTATCTCCAAAGTGTTGTCTTGATGCCAGGAAAACCCTTCTAGAGGGAAGTCCTCAACACCTCCAACAGCCACGTTCCTTCATCTCCTAAAGAGAAGGATATTAGCTCCCCTCTAGCAGGTGCTCTGCTGTAATGAAGTCCAACACCTAGAGAGATGCTGCTTTTGCTCCCCCTGTCCATCTTTTTTCCCAGAACTCCCCTGGCATCCTTCCTTTCCGTTTTCCACATGACACTCAACACACTTGGAAAAGCCCTGCTACCCTCCCCCATGCTTGCCTACAAACCTACGACCAGAAAGAGGGAAATAATCCCTCTGGAAAGCTGCTTGCCAAGCCAGGACCCTTACTCCTGGAAGGATGTGGATTTTCCCCACAGAAATGGAAAGCTCAGCTTTGCTGGATTAAGGTTCATTCTTAGACATTAAAAGGATTAGTCTAGTTAGGCCTATTCCACTCGGTAAATCATCATTCTGGAATGACCACCAAGGGCTGGAAACCAGTATGGCAGCACCAGGACGATGGTAAAATATGGCCAAGCATCTTTACACCATCCACTCCATAAAGCTCCAGTGCAGCAGTTCCTGCAGAGCCACTCAAGGAAAGAGAAGAGCCAGATCCACCTGGCAAGGCAGGCTCGACTGCCCTGTCCTGATAAACACCAGGACAGAAAAGACAGCATGAGGTTTCAGCACCCCCAAAAACCACCCCATGGGAATTAGGGAGGTGCTCAGATATCCGAAATCTTGGAGTCATCTGGCTGTGACATACACATTGAATTACAAAGATGAATAGCTCTTGTCAAGGCCAGGCAAAGCTCTGTTTCCCCCTTTCAAACACACTGCAGTGAGCTGCCCTAATGCCTGCTGATTTAGTTTGAGCCAGTAATTCCTGCTGGAAAGTCAATTATCCAGTGAGTCCCATCAGCTGAAAGATATTTAATGGGGGATTATTGCCACTTCTGTTATGTCAGCTGTTTATTATAGCAGATCAATTCCCAGCCCTCTCTCTGTAGGAAGATATCTGAAGACTGGTTTTGTTCACAGGAGGATTCATCCATGTGTCCTTTCTCCTGGAGTCTCTCTCTCCAGCAGAGATTAAAACCACAGGTTTTTGGCTAATTATGGAAACGTTCAGCTACTCCTAAAACCCCACTGACTGTTAACTTGGATCAAACCTAAGACAACACTCAGAATAAGACACAGTGGAAGAGAAAGGAGGAAGCAGCAGATATTTCCCATCCTCAACTTTACACACTCCAAGGCAAAAGGATTTGCAAAGGTGTTCAGTTTTCTGACCCTTTTCTTCGGCTGTTTCCTTCCCAAGTTTGGATTTGGCTATGGATCTAGACAGCAAAACTGCTTGTGGTGTTAAAATAGGTGCTCCAAGAAGCAAACCACTTGCTTCCATAGGGAATTTTTGGTCGAGAGCTTATTCCGCTACGTTTGAGGACAGGGACAAGAAAGAAGTGGGCTTAAAGGAGATAATTTGCTCCTGCCAGTGGGTTTGAACTCGGTATAATTTCCAGGAATAAAACTTTTAAAGGGATTAAAGACCCTTCAGAAGTTAAAAAGTTAAACAGAACAAGTTTTACTGGTTCTTTATGAAGAAAAAGTGTAATTAGAAGAGAATGACAAGGTTTGCTACAGAGTAAGCAGAATATATGCACCCTACTTCCCATAGCTCCATCCTGAGATTCTGGAGAGCACAGGAGCAATGCTCCCCCACACCTCATTGAAGAAAAGGAGCTTAAAGTGAGCTGAAGCCATCAGTGTTTGGCCATATGTCCAGAAAATCAGGAGAGATGGATATCACCTGGCATGACACGGAGTGATCCAACATGAGGGACAGTATTAGCATTTCCTCCTGTAGTAGCTGGAAAGGTTTAAAGCCAGCTTCCAATTCCCACATTAAGCTACCAGAGGAGATAAGGAGAGGGTTGCTCACCCACCTCAGTGCAAGGGTGGGCTGTGGAAATGTGGGGACAGAGCACAGGTTTGGTTTGGGGAGCAGAGCTGGCAAAGCCTCAGGCTAGCACAGAATGTCAGCTCAGCAACAGGAATAAAGATGTGTTTATCCAGAGAACAGAGCACAAGCGCCAACAGGCCCTTTCCCAGGCCTCAGCTTGGATCTGGAGGGACTATTCCACTCACCAAAACCTTTGGGGCCGTGCCAAGGCTACAACCAGAGACACCAAATATCGGCAGTGCTTCAAACGGCAACTTGAGCACAGCTGGGACAGGTAAATCACTAAAGAGCTCCAGAGGTGTTCCAAACGCAGAATAAGCTCCATTCTGCCCAGCAAGAGAGCTCAGCAGGAGCTTTGGATCAAGCTTCCTTTCCATTCCTGCTTGGAAAACAAAAAGTTACCCTATGCTGAGCAGCCTCCTCCGTAGGAACGGCAGGAACCTGAGAAATCAATATATTCTCACAAGTCATTAAAAGACTTTTGTATAAGCCAGGCAATAGTGGCAGGAAGGAAAAAACACTGCTCAGAGAGGCAGATAATTCCCTGAGGAGACTCCTGCCTCTCCCCCCACCCAAATCCAGGGAATTTGCTGATGTTTGACAAACAGCCCTTGCATTACCACGGCTCAGAATTTCCCTGGTTTCTCACAGAAGAAGGTGGTAGAGGTGGCACTGGATGTGCTCAAACCCCTGATGCAAAGGCTGAGAGGAAGGGCAGAGGTGTCAGGAAGGGTTGGCCAGCTTCCCAAGCTGCTGGCAGAGCCATGGAGTCTTCCCCGTGCCACAGACACCTCAGAGGCCACCAGAGCGCCCTGGGCTGCCCCCTCCCCAAGAGGCTGCAGGCCTGGCTTCAGGAGCAATTATATCTGCACCTATTTTAGGATTACTCCCTAACCACCTGGAATATCTTATTAGAGGGAAGCTCAGATGTCCAGAGCAATTTTGGTTTCCAGTCCCACATTCAAGACCCAGAGTTAATCCTGAATTGCCGAGCAGACAGGAGATGACAAACACTGCCCTGCCTCGCCCAGCCCATTCTTTGGAGGACAAAAACCTTCCAAACAAGAGGAATAAAAACTTCTGGCATGAAACTCGAACTCCTTCTGCACCTCCTCGCTACAGAGCTACAGTTTGGACAGAGGCTTTAGGCCAGGAATCTGCTGAAATATCCACTTAGGGGCGAGGCTGAACATTGCAGTGAAAAAGAAAACCCCTCCCCTACCCCATGGGTTGACTGAAAGCACAGAGTCAATGGAAAGGTACAGGGGCAGCAATTTCAGGATTATCAGAGAATCCACAGAAATTCCTTTTGTGGGTAGAGTTAAGCCTTAGGAAGTGAAACAGATGCTATTATAAAGAAAACTGTTGTACTACAAAACGCCGATAAGATCAGGGCTGCTGCCCTGAGCTGCAAGTTCTCAAGCACAGGGAGCCAAGTTATAATTACTGCCTGCACAAGCTCTGCTGGAATTGGAATCAACCCTTCCCAGCTTTACTAATAACAGAGCTCAATTCAACATCCACGAGCTTCAAAGACGGGCTTTGAAAACATTTTAGTGATTTCAGGAATGGCAGGGAGGATGGGGAAGGAAAGAAAAGGAATGGGCTGAAGTTAAACTGATTAATTGCCCTTTTTTATTAAGTTTCGTTCGTGTGTTCCCATGACCTGGCAACTGTGGCACCAACACAATTCTCTGCCAAACAGGAATCTGCTTCCTCATCCTTAAGGAAAAGTTGGACTCTCTGTGAATGACTCCTATTCACAAATACTCAGAGGAATCATCTAAAACCTAAGTGACAAGAAGATTTGTTCAGTGCTGGATGGGGTGGGAAGAGAAATTCTCACTGCCACACTGAGAGTCACTTATTTACCCTGAAGTGAGAAAAACACAAGTGCAAGAAAACCACACATTCCAGCTCTTACCACCTCCTGTCTCCAGCATCAGCTTCAATTCCTACAAATTGGCACTGAAGGAGATGAGCTGCCACTATTCCTATAGATAAGTTTAGCACCTGAATAAATCCTAAAATGAGCCATATCTTCCTCAGAATATAAATGAGCTCACTTTCCTGCCTCCAGATCCAGCACAGCCACTGCAATATAACACACCTATGGAATTGTTTCTGGAGATGAAGACCTGAACCTAAATCATGAATTTCAAGAGAAGCAGCAACTGGCGATTTAAGAATTCAGATCTGTCCTTACAGCAAAAGAGAAACCAAATATTTAATACCAGCTATGCATGAAGAATCTCCTCCCAGTACATCATAAAAGGAAAAATACCCAGTGACACACAAAGGGAGCTAAAAATCCAACCTTGAGTCGGGCCCTGGATTACCTGAAATAACCACAAGGCAAAAAGCACAGTGTGAAATGCCACTTTTTTATTCCTGGGACCTTCCCCTGCCTGGATTAACGAGTATCTCCTGAGCAATACCTCCACACACACCACTTGAGGCACATACTTAAGGTTATGGAATCCCAGCCACTCATTCCTGGACCCTGGAGCAAAAGCACGGTAATTATTTTAAGCTGACTTATCTTAATAAACACCGTGACCTTTGTAAAAGTTAGGTCAGGATTTTCAGGAGTGACTGGTGATTTCTGAGAATCTACTGTGAGACATCCCCGAAAACCAGACCACGAACCACTCCCTGGAAGTCTGTTGGCTGCTTTGTGGACACTTCCCTTGCTGCATGGAAGAAGGCCTGGAAACCCTGGCTTTATTTTTACGTTCCACGCAGGAATGTGTGTGCTGTAGTTACAGCCTGACAACACTGCTGGGGTGGGAAAGGAGCCGGCAGCACCAAGCCAGTGGCTGTGCTCCTGCCTTTCCTACACGGCTCTTCCAGGAAACCAGAGGGATCGCCGAGCGATGTGAGCACCCACGAGACGAGGACCCAACACCCAACCATCCACCAAAAACAACATTTGCACCTGTGGAATTAAACCCTCATTTTTCTTCCAAGACAGGCAGCACCCAACACCCTTTTCCAGCAAGGCTGCGGGAGCGGTGATGGATTTCAGGGGATTCCAGCGAGTCGGAGGAGCGAGCTGAGCACACTCCCCCCCAGCTATTCTTTCAGGACTGCAATTCCCTGACAAGCACCTCCACTCCCTTGTTGTTCTGTGCTGACAAGGTTCCCACCGCCCCCGTGCCATAAGCTGAGCCAGCTCTTTTGTCTGCTGGCTTGTCCTACAATTATTTACTTGGCTGTCCGGGACTGAACACAAGTGGCTTCATTTTCCTGGTTGCTTCCATCTCCATGTCACAGCTGTTACAGGCAATCTTAGCCTTACACTTCCAAGGGACATTTTTCTCCAAGGCATGGCTTTCAGAAGAACAAGCCACACTTGAAAGAAGAAATAAAGTGACTTTTCCCCACTTTTTCACAGGCACCAGCCTGGGAATTATGCATCCTGGGAATACCACCAGAGCTGGGAGTAGGAGTGGTGATTAGCCTCCAGCAAAACTGAAGCTGGAAAAAAGACTAGTTCAGGAATCTTTTGGAAGCAAACTGGAGAACAGAGGTGCTTCTGTGTTTTATTCTAGGTTTTCTGCCCAACACAACCAATTTAGACAAAGAGCAAAGATAAAATCCAAGTATCTTTAAAATATGCCTTGGGAATTGAAAACATCAAGCAAGGCAGCGTGACTGTTGAGCTTTAAGTGGCCAGTCCACAGTTCCTCCACACAACTCTCCCCCTTTCCTGCCATGCCAGTCACCCCAGTTTATTCCCCACGCATCTCCTGCTCCCCAGCTCTAAACTGGGATTCAGCAGTTCAGGTTTTCCTGCCTGGAATGCAGACTCTGCTGGGGAGTGCAAACAAGCTGATATGCAGCATTTGCCCTGCCCAAGGGGAATATTCTGCACCAGCATCACCAATACTGGGCACTTCAACTGGCCTTGTGGGCACAACACCCCACCTTAATCACATCATTCACCAGCACAACTATGGATCTAAGGCACTCCATCTCCAGTGGCTGTGCCAGGAGACAATATTTTGGGATAATGTGAACCTGCCCACTCCTTGCCATGCTTTCCCACCATCCAGAACTGCTGTAGCACAGCACACCCGTGCTGTTCCTTTATAATCCGCTCCTTAACTCGATGTCCATGAATTCCTCCGATTCCTTCCTTTCCTGTCTGCCTCCCCAGCAGTAAATCAGATTAACACAGCAGTAAGAGTTTTTCTTTTAAGTTTTTCCTGGTGAAGATTTGTGCACTTTAGCTCCCAGAATAAACTGGCCTGAAACCAGACTAAGCTGCGACCTCCTCCCAAAATACTGGATCAGTGCAGGGGCGGGCCAAAGGACTGGAGCAGCATTAGGGCACAGTATGCCAATTGTAGAACAGCGTTTTATTTCTCTTTTTTTATTACTCCACATCAGCTAAGACCAGCTCTGGCTGGTCTTGTGGTCATTTGCCTTCCCAGGACCACCAGTAAGATCTGCAGGGCTCTCACAAGAGAAGCAAGAAGCACCAGCTGAGCAAGAAATAAAACCAACCACAGACTCATGCCAAGGTTATTTGGCTTTTTTAAGAAAGTGATCTGTTAACACTCGAGCCCTGCCTCCTGTTCTCCACCCAGAGCCCTGAAAGAGGAAGTTTACACCACTCCCATCCAGTAAATTCTGAAGCAATGGCCCCTTGACCAACAAACCCACCTCATTTCCCTACAACAGCTTGAGCAACTCTCTTTTCTCAACCCAACCCCTCTTGTGAAGCAAACACAGAGAAAAAACAGCAGTAACTGGTTGTCTGCTGCATCCCCTGCACGTTTTTTAGCACCACCAGCGCCACTGTCATTCACCTGGCAACTCTGAGGAGTTCCTGCCACGTGCACTAGTGTAGGAACACCCAACTGGTTTGCAGGAATAGCCAGGTAGGAAGACCACAGTAATCCACTGAAATACCCACTTACAACACAGAAAATAATTCCATGATCCTCTGGCATTTATCTACAAGTAGTAGTAATTCTTTAGTCAAACACAGAATTAACCTCCTACCAAGCAGCAGCAAGTTGGCTTCTTTCTACCTTCCCACACAGGAAACATAAAAGTGGGTCTGACTCCCAGGATCAGTGGCAGGACACTCTTCCCTGCCTGCCCACACCACCACCCAGAAATCCAAAGTTCCAGCATCCCAGAGGTCTGACACGAAGGGGTTGTAGATGTCAAATGAGAAATAACTCGAGGGAGATGTTGGCAGGCAAATGCCTGCACCAAAAATGAATACACCACCAGGCTGTTCCATTTGGATTACCCCACAAATCCCTCCCTACAAAGGTTCTCACGGAGTGAGGGATTCCTATATCCCAAGCTGGAAATCAGTAAAGCAAAGTTCTTGTGGAATCTCTTTATAAAAGAATAAACCCGGAAGAGCACACCAAGGAAGCACTGCCCTCCAAAGTGCTTCCAAGTGCTTTAAGCAGGACACTGGGCTAAAAAAAATCGTCAGGCTGACCGAATACAGTCATTTTTAGGAGGAAGGAATGTTAGCACTGACCTGTTTGAGCTGCTCGTCCAAGCGCCAGTTGGGGCGTCCCGCCGGGGACCCGGAATGCAGCTGCTTAGTAGTGTCTTTACCCTGTTCTTCTTTGCCCTGCTGCCCCCCCCGCTGGTGCCCTGGAGCTGGGAGAGGATTAGAGGTAGAGGCCACTCTTTGGTTGGGATGGGCAACTTTGGGAGCACGGAAATACTTCAGAGCAGAGCAGCTTTCCTTCCCCGTCACGTCAGCGCCATCCAGCTCGCTGCCTTCCAAACCGCCTTCTTCCTCCTCCTCCTCCTCGTCATCTTCCTCTTCTTCTTCCTCCTCCTCCTCTTCCTCCTCCTCCTCGTCAGGCTCAGAATTCATGCTGCTCTGATCGAAAGCCCGGGCGGGTCCCGGCGGAGGTGGGGCTCTGGCCAGGAGAGCGCCGGGCGATGCGGCCGGAGCGCGGCCGGCGCGCAGGACGGCGCGCTGCACCGCAGCCTGCTGCGGGAACGGCACCTGCGCCTCCCGCAGCTGGCCGCTCCCGCGCTCCGGGAATCCATCTGCACGGCGGCTGCTTGCTGCTGCTGGCTTCTGCAGCTGCTCCACCACAGCTTCCAGCTTCATCCCGCAGTTCGCATGGCTGGGAAAAGAGGGGGGCGGCTCCGGCTTTATCCGGCAGGGTTCAAGCCCCGACCTTGGGAGACGGGTAGAATCTGAGAGAGAGACAAATATTTGTCCGTATGAATATAAAATGCTTTCATCTTTTCCCCAGGAAGAGGATAAATAGAGTGCAAAGCCAGTGCTCTTTCCTGTGCAGGAGACCGTGAAACAATCAGCTCCATGTTTAACAGCCTCGGGCTCCAACTTGCATTCAATTTTCAGACTGTTTAATTGTATTTTCGAGCCGAACACATTTGCCGGGACCTCACCCTCCTATACCCCAAAGACACCATCTGAAATGCCTTTGTCCATGGGCCCAGTCACAATCCTTCCGTGCTTCCTAAATAATTACTTTTGAAAGGTTAGGTGCAGGGTTTGGTGCTCCTAAAATGCTACCTTAAAAGGAGATAGCCGGGATGATAAGCTTTGATCATATTTATATTAAAAACCAGGCAGGAATCTGTTTCACACCTTTATTGCTAAATCCTCCTGTGCTTTCATTGCATTACAAAATCCTTGACATTTTATACTTTCTTTATATCTCTTTATATCTTTCTTTTAAAAATTAAATTTATTTAAGCATTATTTTTCCCAAGGAGATGGAGACGAGACTACAGCAAAGACTGCTGAGCACCAAGCAACTCCTGCCTCTGGATCCTGGAGTTTCAAGGCCCATCCATATCCTCCTTTCAATTTTCCCAGCCTAAGGACCCAAGAGCTTTCCCAGCTCTCCATTTTGACCTGCTGAGCCAGCACTTGAGCAAAGACCAACAGAACAGACCACAGCTGGAAACACAGCTCTGGATAAATCCTGGAAAGACAACTGCGCCGTTAATCCCCGACCGTTAAAATGACCGTGTGTATTTTGGACTTTGTGTCACCAACAGGCCCTGCTGACAAAGACTGCTCTCCTCGGGGTGAAAAGATGATTAAACAGATCCCACTTGCTGCCCTTCAAGGTTCATTGATATCAAAATACAGCCAGCTTGGAGAAACAAAGGAAAAGCCAACTACAAACAAGCTCCAATCTCCTGCCACCTCCCACTACCCTGTTTACAGCCAGCACGGGGCTACTCAAGCCACACAATGCAAGAAAGAGATTATTTTGCTAAAAAAATGTTTCAAAACAGGCACAATTCTGCTCTAAAGCAACTAATAACCTACCAGACAGCAGTTTCCAAAGTGAAAGACAACTTCCAGCATCCCTAGATGGTCAGACAGCATCTCTTGTACTAAGTGCTATGTGCCCAACTCATTTGTCTCTCTCTCTCTCTCTTCTCTAAATAATCCTGCCAAATTCATTTTTCTCCTGTGCAAACTCTTCACTAAGTAACAATGAAAATTAAAAGCCTGGCAGGTGCAGTTGCACTTTTACCTGGCGTGGCTTCAGCTTGCAAGTGCAACACCATCAAGTGGATTAGTATGTCAGGAGCAATACCCTGCAGCTGGGAAGAGCCTGGGACTCCCCGGGAAGGCACAACACACCATCTGTCCTGGCTCCACACGCGAGCTGGTGTGGGTGTTGCAACAGCCACCACAAAGCAGCACAGGAACCCCCAGCCCACACCTCAGTGGGCATTGTGGCACCCAAAGTGTCACCCGCCCTGCCCGGGGGACACTCGGCAGGGCAGGCACCGGGACACTGGGAGCACCTCAGGGACCTGAAGGGTAATAAATGACCTGAGACTCGCAGAGCAAACACACCTCAGGGGCAGCGGCAACACCCAGGAATGCGGCGCCCGCCTTTCCTGGAGCTCAGGTACAACGGTGGGACAGGGCACGGCAGGGCTGGAGCTGGGCTGCATCACTGCCTCACACAGTCACAGAGTCACACAATCAGCCGGGTTGGAAAGGACCTCCGAGATCATCAAGTCCAACCCTTGATCCAACCCCGCTGTGGTTCCCAGACCGTGGCACTGATGCCACATCCAGTCTCATCCTAAAAACCTCCAGGGATGGAGAATCCACCATTTCCCTTGGCAGCCCATTCTGATCACTCTCTCTGTAAAAAATTTCTTCCTAATATCCAACCTAAACTTCCCCTGGCACAGCTTAAGACCGTGCCCTCTTGTCCTACTGCTGGTTGCCTGGGAGAAGAAACTGATCCCCACCTGGCTACAACCTCCTGTCAGGGAGTTGTAGAGAGTGAGGAGCTCTCCCCTGAGCCTCCTCTTTTCCAGGCTAAATCCTCCCAAGAGGGGTGGATTTGAGGTACAGCAAATATGCCCTCGGCAAGTATCACCGTTGTGCTGGACAGACAGCAAGTTTGCAGCCAGTTTTACATCAAGGAGGAGGTGGTTTGCTCACAGAAAACAGTTAAACCATAATTTCAGGACGGGATTTGAGGTGGCAACTTGGAGTTGGGGCTCAAATCATTAAACCATTCCAGGTTTTAAGAGCCTGAGCATGGATATTCCCTTCATTCTTGTGTCTCTGCCTTGACTTTGGTGTCTCCCCTTTACTTTCTGTGTCCCTCCCTCAGCTCTTGTGCCTCTCCCTTGTTTTTTGTGCTCCCCTTCGCTTTCTGTGCCTCTCCCCCGCCAGGGCAGGGCCAGGACTCGCTTTAACCACCCAGGGCTTTTAACCCCTGGGAGAGCCCTTCAATTAAACAGCCCCTCGATTTCAATTTTTAACTGGCTCAGTTAAGCAACCGCCCGCCAGCGGCGCTTGGAAAGAGCTCTTTCCAAGCGGGAACTGCCGGAAAGAGTTAAAGCCGGAGCCGAGCAGCACCGGCACCTCCGGGGGCTGGTAAACAACTCCATCAACGACCCACCCCGTCCCGGCGGGGACCCGAAACCGCCGCTCACCGCCCTCAAGGGGGAACACGGGAGCTGTGCCGCGACCCCCAGAACAGCGCCCCATCGACCCCGCAAACTCCCACCCTTCAGCCCCCCTTACCTCCCGTGGCGGGTCCCGCCCGGTCCCTGCGCGGGCCGCTTCGGCCTCCTCCCCTGCCCTCCCTTCCGCCCTCCCTTCCTCCTTCCCTTCCTGCCCCTCCCGCCCCTTCCTCGCCCGGCGGAAGCGGCCGCGGCGGGGGCGGTGCGCGGCGCAAGCGGAAGCACCCGCCCCGCTTCCGGGAGCGGCGGGGGGCCGAACGGGAGCCAATAAAAACAGCGCAGCGCCGGTCGGCTTCCGGTTCCGGCGGCTATAAAGGCGCGCGCACGGCGCCAGTGCGGGCAGTCGCTGAGGAGGCGCCGTGGGTTCGAGGGCGGGGCTGAGGGAGAGCGAGAGGGTGAGCGAGAGGGTGAGCGGGGCCCCGGGAATCCCGTGTCGGGGCGAGGGCTCCATATCTGTTTGGTCCTTCGAGGAGGGTTCTAAGGATCTTCCTCTTAGGGAGGGTTAGGGCTCTCCTTGTGTCTGTTTGGGCTTTCAGAGGGGGCTGAAGGATCCCTTGCGGGGCTTAGGGATCCTGGCGTGTGTCTTGGGGCCCTCAGGGTGGGGTTGGTGTCCCCCACTGGGGCCCTCATGGGAGGTTAGGGGTCCCCCACATCCATTCGGGCCCTGAGGATGGGATTAGTCCTCTACTCGGGCCGGGTTAGGGGGCCCTTGCATCTGCCCGGGCCCTCGGGGGGGTTGAGGTCGCCCGGTGGGGTCCTTGGAGGGCTCAGTGTTCGTTTGGGCCCTCGAGGAGGGGGCTTTGGGGTCCTCCCACTTCTGTTTGGGCGCTCGAGGGGGTTTTTAGGGGTCCCTCCATGTATGGGGCCTGGGAAGGTAGGAAGGGGAGGGCTTTATGTTGAGGGTCTTTGCTTCCTCAGGTCTGTGGTAAAGGTGTGTGTGTAGGTGTGGGGGGGGTCCCCGATGGTCCACTTTGACCCCTGGGGAAGGAATAGGAATCATAGAATCCTGGGATGGTTTGGGTTGGAAGGGACCTCAAAGCTGATGCCATTCCAACCCCTTGCCGTGGGTTGGGACACCTCCCACTAGACCTGTGCTTGTTTTCTCAGACACATGTATCTATGTGTATTTTGAGGGAAGAAACAGATAAAATAGGCATCTTCCTACATTGCTCCACAGACCCCTCAGAGCCTAATTTACAAGAGCCCTCCATATTCCCCCTCATGTCAGAGGGGGGCTCCTTCAGCACTGCTCTTGGGGCTCCCTGCTGTATTAAACCCCTTCAGCACCTGGGGGCACTTCAGGGCTCTGTGCTGTCCCTGCTCTGTCCCCTCTGGGCAGCAACTGATGGCTCCCTGTCCTTCCTGCCCGCAGGCCGGTCGGGATGGCGGACGAGGAGATTGCTGCCCTCGTGGTGGACAACGGCTCGGGCATGTGCAAGGCTGGGTTCGCGGGGGATGACGCACCTCGTGCTGTGTTCCCCTCCATCGTGGGGCGACCCCGGCACCAGGGCGTCATGGTGGGCATGGGGCAGAAGGACAGCTACGTGGGGGACGAGGCGCAGAGCAAGAGGGGCATCCTCACGCTCAAGTACCCCATCGAGCACGGCATCGTCACCAACTGGGACGACATGGAGAAGATCTGGCACCACACCTTCTACAACGAGCTGCGCGTGGCCCCCGAGGAGCACCCGGTGCTGCTCACCGAGGCCCCCCTCAACCCCAAGGCCAACCGGGAGAAGATGACCCAGATCATGTTTGAGACCTTCAACACCCCAGCCATGTATGTGGCCATCCAGGCCGTGCTGTCCCTCTATGCCTCTGGCCGCACCACCGGCATTGTGATGGACTCCGGGGACGGCGTCACCCACACGGTGCCCATCTACGAGGGCTACGCTCTGCCCCACGCCATCCTGCGCCTGGACCTGGCCGGCCGCGACCTCACCGACTACCTCATGAAGATCCTGACGGAGCGGGGCTACAGCTTCACCACCACGGCCGAGCGGGAGATCGTGCGGGACATCAAGGAGAAGCTCTGCTACGTGGCACTGGACTTTGAGCAGGAGATGGCCACGGCCGCCTCCTCCTCCTCGCTGGAGAAGAGCTACGAGCTGCCCGATGGGCAGGTCATCACCATCGGCAACGAGCGCTTCCGCTGCCCCGAGTCCATATTCCAGCCCTCCTTCCTGGGCATGGAGTCCTGCGGCATCCACGAGACCACCTTCAACTCCATCATGAAGTGCGACGTGGACATCCGGAAGGATCTGTACGCCAACACCGTGCTGTCCGGGGGCACCACCATGTATCCCGGGATCGCTGACCGGATGCAGAAGGAGATCACGGCGCTGGCCCCCAGCACCATGAAGATCAAGATCATTGCCCCACCAGAGCGCAAATATTCCGTGTGGATTGGTGGCTCCATCCTGGCCTCCCTCTCCACCTTCCAGCAGATGTGGATCAGCAAGCAGGAGTACGACGAGTCTGGCCCCTCCATCGTCCATCGCAAGTGCTTCTAGAGGGGCTGCTGGCAGCCACCCTGGGCTGTCCCTGCTGGGATGACCTCCTCCTTCCACGTTGGACCAGAATTGTCCCACTGTTCCTTATCCCACATTTTAATTAATTTGTTGAGGTACCAATTAGTGATGTGCAGTTTAATGGCCCGTTAGGCTGTAGTTCTTCTGTGGCTCCTACTCCTCTTCCTGGTGGCTCTCTGGGGCTTGGAAGCAGGTGGAGGGTTGTTCACTTTCCCTGTGTAACGCGGATAGGATGACACTAAACTTAGGTTTGTCACCTTTAGGTTTGTCACCTTTAAGTTCCTTTGTAGGAAAACAAATAAATTTCCAAGGTTTAAACACTAGAAGAGCTGATTTTGCTTTATTTCAGGGTGGGTTCTCTGTCCCCTTGAATTATTGTGTGGTAGATTTTGGACTCAAACCTGGCCTGTAGCTAAAACTTACCCAAATTTTGTTTTCTAAATTCTCTTTAAATCCTGTCACAGCCCCTGGTGCTGCTCGGACCATTTTAAGAGCTGTTAGGGAGGAAAGCGTGCCTGGAATGTGGCTCTTGCAGCCTGGCTGGACTTTCATGGTAACTTGGCTTTTTTTAGAACACAAACAGCTCTTCTTGTCAGAAAAAGTTGGAGCCTTGGCAGAGGATTTGGTGGCTGAAGCAGTGGCCTCTCCTTTTTTGGGAGAGGATGAGGAGATGGGGCAGCAGATAATGCTGAAGAGCACTCAGCTTGGGGAAGCCCGTCCCTGCTGCGTTCGGAGGGTATCTGCAGGAGCTCCTCATCCACGCGGGAGGGATGGCAGGCGCTTAATTAATGAGATGTGGTTAATTAAAGGTGACCGCGCCGT